CTTCTATTCTAGAGCTTGTAGCTTCACTTATTTTTGTTTAACATGTGAAAGTTTCAAGAATATTTCAAAATTACTTTATACCATACACTTTTAGGAAAAATTGACCATATTGTTTAATTGTAACACAAATGACAATAAATCTCTATTATGTCCTTATATTTTGTAGCTACTAAATTTTTTGAATTGGCTTATTGTTTAGATGTGATTTTAAGGTTTTTCTTAGGTTAGCATAATTAGGTGGTTATAAATCATGACTTGGTTTCTTTTTGGATTCAAATTGATAGTCATGATAAGAAATGAAAGCCATTTTCCAAGCGTGTTTGATATTTAGAGATAAAAATATGTCTTCCGTTATTCCATTATTTTGAATTTTTTTTACATTGACTATTGTTAATCTGTTTTATTGTCACTCAATAAGAGAAGACTTGGGATTTGCTCTATTTAGATATTTTCATCTGTATGCATATGATCTATTTAAATTCTTGGGTAACATTTGTCCGGTTTAGTTATTGAGAGCCCATTTCTTCGATGATGTGAATAGTGCTCGTTGAGTTTTTTTCTTAATCGAGCTAATTGTTTGAGCAGTCTTGATTAACTAAAATGTTCTAGTTTCTTAACTTTTATGGTTTGGCTTTTGTAGAAAAAAATATAAGGTTTCAAAGAGGTGCATAATGATTATGAAGCTTTATAGTGACTGAATTTTGTGCAATGAGAATATCATTTTTATACCATCCGAGAATGTTCCAAATCACACTTTTAGCTAACTTCACCTAAAATTAGAATTGCAAATCTTATTTTTATGCTATTTGAGAATTCTAATTTAGATGCAAAATAAAGCACAAGATTAATTCTATTTTTTAAGATGTCAACTTATTGAAGATTTTAAGAATTTATAATTCCCAAGTAGAGAATCTAAAACAAGAGAGGAAACATGGTTTGTGACATGCAATTTCATAAGTGATCTTGACAATATTTGAAAATAGTAGAGATAACGAAAGTTCAAATGCACCCATCATCAAAGATATTAAGCAACTTCGAATAAGCATTAAGGAAGATAAATAAAGTATGAATACACCAATTGTTAAAGATATTAAGCAAATCCCGAACAAGCATTAGTGAGTTTGAATGCACTTGTTGTCAAAGATATTAAGCAATTTCTAAATAAAAAATGAAAAGTGAAAGAAGAGACTTGTTTATGAAGAAAGAATCTCATGTATAAGCCGACTTGTTAACTATGGTGAGTTTTGTAAGCATTAATGGAAATAAAAAGAAGTTTGAATGCACTCGTTGTCAAAGACATTAAGCAACTTCTAAATAAGAAATGAAAAACGAAAGAAGGGACTTATTTATTGAGAAAAATCTCATGTACAAGTCGACTTATCAGCCATGGTGAATCTTGTATGAATAGTTAGTCCTAGAAGATATATAATTTAGTTTTTTGGTTTAAGCTTTAGCTATGCCCTTTATTCGCCTATAAAAAAAAACCATTTGATAAAGAAAGTTTTAATGCACCCATCGTCAAAGATATTAAACAACTTTTGAATAAGCAATGAAAAGTGAAAAAAGGGTGTTAGGTCAACTTATCAATTGTGGTGAGTCTTATACCAATTGCTACTCCCCGGGAGAGGTACATTTTGGTTTTTGATTTACCTAGGCTTTAGCTAAGCCTTTCATTTACCTAAAAAAAACATTTGATTATGGTGGAGACCTTTACAGTAACATGAATTGATTTCATTTAAACTATAATTTTCAATCATGTAGCAAGTAGAATTCAATTGAAAAAAAATTATTTTGCACATACAAAAAAGTTATACAACTTCACAATCTAGACTGGAGATTTGATTAACAAACACAAGTAGAAGAAAAAAAAGTCTCAGTAACTAGTAAATAGTATCAAAGTTTATCTCTTACTTTAATTTTTTCTTAACTAAAGAATGGACAAAGGAACCCACCTTTTAGTCTTAAAGCCCTTTATAATATGAAACTATATATACCAAACTAAAGTAAGTGAACCTACAAAAATATCTATTTCAAACTAGGCTCGGAATAAAGCCCAACCCAAAACGTACGAGTTGTTTATAGTCGTTGCATAAGAAACCATTTATGGTTTCTCAAGTTTCAATGATAGGTCAAAACAACTCTTGAATTTTTTTTTTTTTATCTAATCAAGCCTTTTATTTCTCATTTACGACAAGTTTTTCGTCTAACTCATGCCATTAGACAATTGGCATGTGCCACCCTCCTATCTCAAGCTTTTAGAGAGAGTAAGTTTATCCGAAACTTGATTTTTAACACTAAAACTCCTAAGACTTTTAATATTAACCTATATCCTTTTGGGCGATCCTTTTCTCCCCTTTATTTCGACTCTTCTCGCATGTTAGAGGTGAAGAGTTTTATATATCCATCAATTGGATAGATTTTAGGACAATTTTTGTTAGATTTGCTTAAATAAATCTCCTGTTTCTTGAGTTTTAATTTTCATATATGATAAATGGGGTAAATCTATCTCTAGATTGTTCTTTTGAAAAGGTTACGATTGTTCGTGTTGTAGAATAGTGTTGAGTTGGTATGATAGTTTAAGTTTTAGAGAGCTCATCGATTTGGTGGTGTAGTTTACGTATGTTTATTGTTGGATTTGTTGTTTTTGTTTTTTACAACTATGGATGCGATGGTGAATGGGAACCGATATTAGGTGGTTGGTGGGCTTAGTGTGGCAAGAGTACATGCTTCATGAGTAGTAAATGTTTTCCTCCCACGCTTTAACCTTGTCGGATCTAGTTATGGTACAATGATAAAGCGGTTAACTTTTGATTATAAAATCTTTATGTATTCTAGAGTTGATTGTTTGTGATAGGTAGCTTAGCTCGTAGAAGAAACATAGATCATACGCCATGCATGAGAGATTGATATTTGTTTTTTCTAAGCTCTCGAATATATTTTCTTTCATTTGAAATTCATTGTAATTCAATAGTCATTTATTCTATTTTTTTATACAAACTTTTACTCGTACATTTAATTTGGAGTTAAAACTATTGTAATTTGACTTTATTAATGTAATTTGTTATGTAAAAAGAAGAAGAAGAAGAAGAAGCTTGAACATTGGAATTAAAATTAAAAGATTCAAGAATGGGAGCTTGTGGACCACATAAATCCATTAAAATCAAAATTTATATTTTTCTAGTATGAATTGCTTGACAAAATTCATGGCTATGCTCATGAATTTTAAGATGATCGTGAGGAACAATTTTCCATTCATTGGGTTTTTTTTTTTGTATTATTGATGGAGAAAAATGAAATGTGTTAGTTATTCGCATTTTCCAACTTCTTTAGATTATTAAGAAATAAAAAGGGTTCTTCCATACGTAAACTCTTTATTTTTTCAAATTGTTTTGATTGAGATTTAGTAATTTTTTTGTGTTGATTGAGACTCTTAACTTTTCATATGATGTTATTTGAGACCCCGGTTATAATATCATTTGTTATGAGTTGACATAGTGCGTCTAGTTTAGGATGCGTGACACGTGTGATAAGTCGATTCTAATTGAAGAATTCAACCAAGACAATTCAAAAAGTAGATGGATCAAATTATTATTATTTTCTTTTTAATTTTTATGGTATTGTGTTTTTTAAAATTTTGTCTTAAATGCCATAAAATGTATCATATGTGAGTTTCTATCATAGTAAGACTCTAAAAAGTATTTTTTTTAAATACTATAATAATTTAAAACAATAAATACTTACAAAAAAACCTAAAATATAATTAAAAAATACAAATATGTTTTTTAAAAATTAAAATAAAAACAATAGTAAGGTTAATAGGTAGTCGGTTATTTAAATATAAAAAAAATGCTACGAGTCTAATTTTTTTTTTAAAGAACAACCCTATTTTTCACTTGAAATCGAGTAAAATATTCTAAATTTTTTTATTTTGTACTACCTACCTATTTATTATGAATTTAATAAAAATAATTTGTCAAAATATTACATTTTTGTTCTATGGAATTTATAAAAAGTTATTTTAGTATTTAAAATTAATATTTACTATAATTTGGAGCTCAAAGTTTTCATAAAAACTACGTAGATCCATGTTTTCTAAAGTTTGTGCATCGGATCCTTATATATATATTTTTAATTAAAATTTATGTATGACACGAGTTACGTATTCAAAAGCGGACACGTTATGTCATCGTTATGTAAGTTCGCAACTAATAATATTATAACGAGAGGGTTTCAAGCAACGCAAAATAAAAAAATAAAAAATCTCAATTAATATAAAAAAATAAAGAGCATCAATTAAAACAATTCAAAAAGTAAAAAAACCTATATTGCAAAACCCGAAAGAAAAATAAGATGTACCAATTAATTAATTGATGACCTCTCACTATTTTTAAGAGAATATGAATTAACATGTAAATTTGAATGTTGTAGTTATGTAAAATGAGGCATGTCTTCAATGCACACTCCTTCACGTTTGTTTGTTTTTTTTTCTTTTATCATAGAAAGAAATATAATGAAAATGAATAGCTTGCCATCTAACTTCAAGAGATAATTTGACTCTCCACAACCATTGGATTATGTATTGTGTTGATAAGTCAAATATTACTAAGTGATGAGAACAATTTCTTTATAATTAGAGAGCAATTTTTATTTGTTTTATTAAATCTTTTTAATGAAGAAATTTTTTGGTATCGTTATAATTCTTTTTTATCAGCATTAAATTTTTTAAAGTTCGCCCATTGCATTGGCTTTCTCATAGTTTGTGACCAATTGGCATTGTTTATACAAAATAAAAGGCTGATCAGACTACATACCAATACTCGAGGGACCAAAGTGAGTTTTACCCATAAATAATTGTCGTCTTGTAAGCCAAACGAAATTTCTACTCTCTAGCCCAGTCGGTACTCCATTTCCTTTTCCCTCCCTCAATCTTCTCTCTCCGTCTTTGAACAAAATCACAATTCACCGAATTAGGGTTTTTCTTTTTTCTAAAAAAATTATCAATGGACAGACACAGGGGAGGAGACCGCTACAGCGACAACGACAGCAATTACAACACAAGTAGTTATAACAGCACCATCGACAACCAAGATTCCTCCTACCATAGCCGCCGTCCCTCTCGCTTCTCCGATGCCCCATCCCGCTTCTCTGATAGTCCTATAAACCGTTACTCTGATAACGGCAACAACAATAATTACAGCAATTATAACCGCCGTAGCCCTAATAATTACCGTGGCGGTGGAGGGGGACGACGTCCGTTTGATAGTCCTCCGAGGCGGAGTCCTCCTGGTGGTGGTGTCGGCGGAGATGGTGGATTTCGGCCTATGGGTGGTGGTGATGATGGGGGGTTTAGGCCGATGGGCAGTGGAAGTGGACGGTTTGTGCCTAATTATCAAGTGCCATCGCCATTGCCCCTACCACCTCAGAATCTATCCGGGCACAAACGAGGGTTTCACGGAAGCTCTCCTGGTAAAGTTTTGTTTGGTTAAAAAGCGATAAAGTTCTTCTTTTTATTTATGTCTTGGTAATTAGTATGTCTCTAATTTGGAGAATTGCGTTTTATTTGCGTAGTTTTTGTGAAATTGAATGGCAATTTAATTTAACTTTTTTAAAATTTCGGAATTCGGTATTTATTCGTATTGTTTTGGTGGAATTGAATGGTAGTGTAACTTAAGTTGATTGTTCTTATTTTGTGTTATGTCATTAAATTTAAGTTTGAGCCCTTTTTTTCCTTTCTGTTCAGGGGTTAATGATTTCGTGTTTTGCAGATAGGTTTGATGGTGGTGGTGGTGGTCGCAGTGGTTTTGCTTTTGCGAAGCTCTTTGTGGGCTCTGTTCCAAGGACAGCTACTGAAATGGATGTAAGTCATTTAATCGATGCATGAGATATTATATTTAGAGTTATACTAAACCCTGAAGAAAGCACTTGAAACCTCTTACACATGTATCTGCGTATGCGCACTCCCCACTCTTTTTTTTTTTTTTTTTTTTGTGTGTGGCTGGTTTCTTTCCATTAACGATGCTCATCTGTGCTCATTTTTTGTCTTCTTGCTGTCGGCTGTCTTCAATTTTATTGGGAAGGAAATTTCTATTTTATAGTGTCATGTTTGTGAGATCTTGATGGTGTTTTTGCTGATTTTATGCCAGATTCGCCCATTGTTTGAAGAACATGGAAACGTGATAGAGGTTGCCTTGATCAAAGATAAGAGAACAGGACAGCAACAAGGTATGTAAAGTACTATTTTTAAATAAAATATTTGTGATTCATATTTATCTTATTTCAGGTCTCTAAGAGGCTGATGGGAGCAAAGTATTCTCATCTTTCGTCTCAGTTTATTTTTGCAACAAGTTTAGGGCTTGTTGGTTTTGGTTGCAACCCTCTCTTTTTTTCTCTTCGTCTTGTCAAAACATGAAGACAGCACATGCAAACCTACTAAAAAACAGTTATTCATAGCAGTTTGGAACTTGAAGATGATTAGATCCTCCTCTTGTGACAGTGGCTGCTGCAATGGGGGCATTACCAAATAGTCTTTTGTAATGAGGATGTCTATTACCATACTGTAGCACTTTTATGTCGGGATGTTTATAAGGACAGCTTTTGTACATAGTGACACAAGAAAATATTTAATTGTTACTCCTCTAAATGGTGTTAAACATGATATAATCTGAAGGCATTTTTTGTTTTGTTTTTTTCTTGGCAAACCTGGGAGCGCTCCACTTTGAATGTTGTGGATATCATTTTATGCATTGTCAAATGAGATGGTTAGAAGTTGGATTGTTAGTTAGATGTGGTTGTTTACTGCATGAAATGAGATGTGGTTGTTAGTTATGCATCCGTCCAAAAGCTACGCTGGGAATCAGTGATAGGCCATTTTTTATGGGATGGTTATGAGATGAATATTGTCCATGTTGATTTTCCCTTTTAAGCTAAGTTGGTTTCCTTTCAGATGCTTGAATGTAATGTGAATGTTGCCTTCTGTTTTAGTTTGAGGTTTCTGACTTCACTCTGTTTCTTGAACATGGATGTGACAAACAGTTGAAAATTAACATTTGATGCATGTTTTGAGAAATAAAAGCCTATTGCTTGTGAGATGGACTTCAAAGCTTCATTATGTGGTATATCTTGGAAAGCTTTGCATTTGATTGCTGGCTGGATACATGTGGAGCTTACTTTGTGGTTGGTATGTTCTAGTAAGATGCTTATTGTTCATGGTTTGGCTCCTATTTGTGTTCGACTAGAATTTAACAGTTATGCTTAATAATTCAGTGCGCTTACTAATGTTTTGGCAGGCATGTATGATGTGTGTTGTCAATGTTTATGATTTGGGTAGAAGCGTTGGTATATTGCTGTTTCCATGGTCCATTTATCGAAAGCCAATTCCTTGACTTGATATAAGCAATGGTCCAAAAATTGAATGGTTAAAATTAGGGACCATTTCCTAGTCTAGTAGTTCTAACAAGGCTTATGAGGTAGAGCACGGTATTTATAAATAAGGATTTTTCTTTCAGTACTGTGGTTTTGTTTCATGATTAACATTTGTGCTTGGTGGTTGCTAGCAGCTTGTGATCAGCTATAATGTGGTCCTCAATCTCATTATGTGATGAACTCCATTACTCTGGTCAATAGAAATCATTTCATTGTTTACCTAGTGGAATTTGGATGAGATTGTGATGATCATGGTGCGGCAATTGTGGATGATGTGCTCGATAGCATTTTAGTTCAACATTTTTTGTCGTTGATTCTCTTATCAGGCTTTACAGGTTCATTTTGATTTGGTTTTTTTTGGATCAGTGATGTTTACTGTGTTTGTAATGAAATGTCTGTTTGGTGATACATGACTGCAATAATTTCTTAGCTGCATGTTATTGTGTCAGGGTTTATTATCAATTTTATTTATCGAGTTCTAGTAGCCAAGCAGGAGAGGCGTGTGATGAATTCCTGGTTATATATTCCTAAATAGAATTAAGCAGATAATAGAAATTAATGGATCAGGGTCCATATACAGTGAGGCATATCTAGTGTCTATTAGGGTGTTGCTTGTGTTGGCCACACATCAGTTTGGCTATTGGCTAAGCATTCTGGTGTTATCTCACCTGAGTCTTTTTATTTCTCAGAAGTGTGTGAAAGTTGATGTTACAAAAATCAGTGGTACGGTTGAATTGTTGACTACTACTGCCTCTTGTAAGGCTGTCAAATAGGAATCTTAGTTTGCATGCGAGACACCCTAGTTGATGTAGCCTTCCTCGAATTTTAAAAAATTGACCTTGCAGCATGTGGGATGAGTTCGTGTAAAGTTTATTGCTTTATCATTTGAATTGTATTAAATATCATGCAAGAACCCTCTTGCAGCAGTCTTCAGTAGCATTCGTGATCGAATAATGGCCTTTTGCTCTTATTCTGTATTGCATGCTTTACTTTGTGAATGTTTCAAAGAGTTACGGCAGAACAATTTGAAGGCTGTCTTCTCTAGCGATGATGGCTCATCAATCCTTTTCTGTTCTGTTGGGCTATCATGTGTTTCTCCCCTTTTCTGTTTCTGTTTCGTTTTGGTTGTACCATTCTCCCTGTTCTGCGTGATGATCCAAGATGACTTGATAATGTAGCTGAGATGGATGGCTTCTTTTTAGATGCGCTAGTTTCTGTTTGATTAAACAAAAGATGAATCTTAGAATGATTTTGTCTCTTGTAAGTTATCTAGTCATTGGACTGCAGCTGGAAATTTGAATGTGCATGCTTTAGAGTGCATGTCTGTTTTCATGTCACTTGATTTCTTAGTTGACTAGCTGCCTCAGGAGCATGGATGTGCTGTATGTTTAGAAGTCTCATAATTAACTTGCTCTACATTAGTTTACACTCAGTACAAAAAACGAGCTAAATGAAGAAGATGATTGATTCCATAAATGTGTATATGTATCATCTCTATTTTGGATGAAGTACGTTTCTCTGTTCTGGTTTGGGCCTCTAATGTATGAAGAGACTCGCCATGTTGTGAGGTTTTGAGACAAAAATGGAGAACTTTCACTTTGGAATGAGTCTGGACTTCATTTTCCTTGGAGCATGTTTGAGATGACTGACTACCAGTGTTACAAACCTTTTATGTTGGAGCGGAGGGGGGATCTTAGGTTCCTTTTGTTTATTTATTTATTGTTTTTTTTTTTTAGTGACAAACATGATTTTAAGTGATAATTGACCTTGTGATCATCAAACACTGTTAGGCTGGTGCCTAAGTTGTAGTTGCTTTATGTGATTTTGATCATATTATTACTGCCATGTTGCTTTTATCTGTTGTGATTGTTATTTTTAAACTCCTTTTATTAGTACTTCACATTCTATTGACCGGTGAAGTGGCTCAATGTGAGACCTTTGCTCTATGACCTGATGATTGCCTACATATTCATTCTGTTTAGTTTATTTGTTGCTAATCTTTAAGGAAACTATATTGTTTGAGAGAAAACATTGTCGACTAGTTTGTGATCGACATTCTTTATGCCTTGCTACGAGAGTGCTGGAAAAGAAATGTGGGGAGAACATCTGTTACATTGCTTTTACATTTCTTATGCTTTTTACCCAAGTATGCTTTCAGGTTTCTTCATGCTTTTCAAAGCCCTTCAGTATAGAATGGTTAAATTAGTCCTAAGAGCTCATTGCTTCTAATAATAACAGCTAATTAGATTTATGGATCTAAAGCTGCAATGCTTTATTCCAAGCATTGGAAATCTTTTTTTTTTCTATCCTAACAAGAGTCTGCATGTAGACATGCAATTGTTTGTGCATAAGAGTGCTGGCCTTTGTATTTTACATTTTCATTTAATGACATATCTACACCAGTGTTAGAAAGGTGCAAGTGACCAAGTAAAGCCGGTTAAAAACATTTCACTCATGCAGGCTGTTGTTTTATAAAATATGCTACCTCAGAAGAAGCTGATAGGGCCATCAGAGCTTTGCACAATCAACGTACTCTGCCTGGGGTGAGTTGCATTCCTGTTCCTGGTTTCCAATTATGTTGACCATTATAGCAGTTTCAAATGTTAAATATTTGTTTTCCAGGGTGTTGGTCCTATCCAAGTTAGATATGCTGATGGAGAACGAGAGCGCCTTGGTAATAGTCAATGACTTAACTGAGGTTTCAAAGTTTTTGAAAGTTAGTCTTTTTGTTACATCCACAGACTTTAGTTACTAGATGTTGGGTCTCCGAAGTTTGATCTGTTTCTTACGTGTTGATCTGAGCTGTGAAACATTCTTAGGTTTGGTAAAAACTGCAAAACTTATATGTAATGGATATTTTGTGTTCTTCATGAAGATCTTGGATTGAATATTTTCCTTGACAATTGCTCTTTTTCGGTTTCATGTTCCTTGAATAGTTAAAACTTGTTATTAACAGGACAGAGCACATGCAAATATGTTTTCATTTCTAATTTCCTTTCCTGATTTTTCCCTTTGCGTGGTAGGTGCAGTTGAGTACAAGTTGTTTGTGGGTTCACTGAACAAACAGGCTACAGAAAAGGAAGTTGAGGAAGTATGTCATGTGTCCAGTGATTGTTTATTGTTTTGTCATTCTTCTGATAGCTTGCCCTGCCTTTCTCCTTCTGGATGAACACTTTATTCTCTCCTAGTGAATATTTAACAGTTTGTCGGTTTATCTGATGAGTGGATACACTTTCGATACTATTCCCTTATAGTTTGATGCATATATGAATTTTGTTTATTCAGTTTATCTTTCTTTATAGGCATGATTATAATAACTAGTGTTTCTTTGTTTAGATTTTCACACCATATGGTCGGGTTGAAGATGTTTACCTCATGCGTGATGAAATGAAGCAGAGTCGTGGTGCGCCCTTAACTCTTATTTCATGTTAAGAAACATTATGTACCTGTATTTGAATTCATTTTCTTTTCCATGTAGATGTCATGTATTTTCTTTCTAGTTATTTGTGGAGCAATGGATTGTTATTGCTCCTTTTCTAAATCATCTGCATAACTGTAAGGGGTGGGTGGTATTATCAGTCTATACCTTACAAAACAATTGGTCAGCACTTCTATGTGATAGTATGCAGGGTTGATGCTTCTCCTCACTGCATTCTTCTCGGCATTTCCTTTTCTTTATGCTCTTATCAATGTGAAGCTAATACCATCATGTTTCTAACTCCCGGTTGCTAATTCTCTTGTTGAATTCATTCTGAAGGTTGTGGATTCGTTAAGTACTCCAATAGAGACATGGCATTGGCTGCTATTAATGGTCTTAACGGAATATACACAATGAGAGTAAGGAGTGCTTGTTGCTTTTATGATGTTATATTTGCTGAATATAAAATTAAGTGCAACCTATTTACTTTCATTTTTCTAAACTGTTCAGGGTTGTGAGCAGCCATTAACTGTCCGGTTTGCAGATCCTAAAAGGCCCAGGCCCGGAGGAGATTCGAGGTTTTTTAGCTGACATCATCTTTCACTCTGGATTACTTGTATATTTTCTTGTTTCATTTTCAATTAAATTCGCAAAATAAATGTTGGAGCTCTTTTCTCTTTCCTCTTTTTTTTTTTTTTCAGAGGTGGTCCAGGTGTCGGCCCTAGATTTCAAGCTCCTGGGCTTAGGTAAATTTTCCCTTAACAATTTGGTGAAATAAACTGTCACTTCAGTTCAGCTTCTTCTTCTATATTTATCTATTTTTTTAACATGATTGCTTTCATGCTCACTTTTTTAGACCACCGCTGAATTTAGGGAATCCTATGGGTGACCATATTCCACCACCTAATGCTTGGCATCCAATGAGTCCCCAAAATATGGGTCCTTCCCCCAATGCTGGTGTTCATGGTTTTGGGAATCAGTTGCCTCCTAGATCTGGTGACTTACCAATGCCTTTAAACCAGGTAAGACTATCAGCAATTATCTGATATGTTGACACCCTTCAGTATTTTCTCTTACCCACAATTAATATTCGTTTTGACACTATCAGCAATATAATCTGGTCATTTACATACGATTTATTTTTTTAATTTTTTAATTTTGTAATTTTTAATTGTATGGTATATTGATCTTCTGATTTGAGAAAGTTGCCCTTTTTTTGTTACATCTCCTAACAAGAAACTCATGGAGTAGGCATCTCAATTCTTGCTGGTCTTTCTTTTAACACGCATCGTCTTTGATTGGATGGTATATTGATTGTCCGACCATATTCATTTTTGACAAAAATGCTCTTTCTTTGGAGTAATGAAATTGTGGGTTCTAATCCACTCTTTATGTGAAACTTGTCTCCTCTGTTGCGCACTAATTCTCAGAATATGTCTTGTTCCTAGCTTTGGGAATTCATACCCCCAGTCCCCATAGTTCGACACTGTTACTTCTATGCTTGCAGAGCTTTGAGGAGTGACAGTTTATCCTAGTGCATCATGAGCACATGAAGAAACTAATTGATCCCTGCATGTTCTTTTCATGGTCATCCAAGACTAAAAAATATTGTCTCGATGTTTTGTTTTTTCAGATTGTTAGTCAGTCTCTGCAGCAACCTAACCCTGTCAGCCAGCAAATATCACCCCTGCAGAAACCACTTCAATTGCCTCAGCACTTGCCAACTTCCCTTAAACTACAAGCTCAAGCTGCATCTTCCTATTCTCAGACACAGACTTCCCATGTCAGTCAGCTCCAGAGTCCACTTACCACCGGTCAAATACCCTTCAGTCAAGCGCTGGCATCACAACATTCGATTGGCTTGAGTGGACAGTTATCTGCTTCTCAACTTCAGATCCAGCAAGGCATCTCATCAACTACAGCACTACAAGCCCCTTCGAATATCAATGTACAATCCCACTCCATGGCTCCAGCAATAAATCAACAGCAATTGCCTGCACCTGTCCAGCAGCAAATGCTTCAGTCCCCTTCTCAGTTAGCTCAGATGCTGTCACAACAAACGCAAACCCTGCAAGCAAGCTTTCAGTCATCTCAGCAGGCTTTTTCCCAGCTGCAGCAACAGTTGCAGATGATGCAACCATCAAACCAGAGCACGTTGCAACAGAGTCCCCAGGCTCCTAAACAGCAGGTTCGATAAGCTTTTAGAGGGTAAAGAGTTGTGTCAGTGGTTGGGAATTCCTGGATTCATCACTTCTCTTCCAATTTTGGGTAAAAGTAATTGGTTGCAAGGTTTAGCACGCACACAACTCTGGACATCTGCTTGATGTCATTTGCTTAAAACCGCTATCGCAAGCTGGGAACATGATTTTAGTTGCCAGAAAAAAAGTGTTCATTACAAGGAAACTAAAATTTGAACTTGTTGCTGAGTGTTGTTGGCAAGGGATGAATTTTTAACTGTCTAACCCATCAATGCTTGATGATATTTTACATAAATGTTTACAATTTGTGTTGATGTGGGGCACCTTTCCCTTTGTGAATAGCCAACTTCCAGTTTCTCATTTTAGTATGCTGCACTAATTTGCCTTTCTAAAAAATTATACCATTTTCTTTCAAACACTGTGTTTGCTGTTGTTTAAGCTTATTGTTGTACTTCCATTTGCATGTTAAACCTGTGTTTTAATGGTTATATACTGAAACCATTACCTGCCTTTGCATTCTCAGTGGCCTCCACAAGCAGTTGCCAGCACTCCAACACTTCCTGCAGATGTGCCTCCATCTACTTCTGCTCCTACTGCAGGTTTTATGAGTCAGACTGTAGCTCCTGTAAAATGTAATTGGACTGAGCATACGTCCCCTGAGGGATTCAAGTACTACTATAACAGTATAACTCGTGAAAGTCGAGTAAGAAACTGATTGTTGGCTTGCTCTCTTGTTGGCACTTCATCTTTGAATTATCCGTTGATTTATTTCTGTGACTGGACAGTGGGAGAAACCTGAGGAATTGAAATTATTTGAACAACAGCAACAGCAACAACTACACCAAAAGCCTCCAGTTCAACTGCCTCAAGCCCAGTCAAATCCTCAAGTTTTGCCCACCCAGCAAGTGCCTCAAACCCAACAGGTGCATCTTCAAACACAGTTTCACTACCAGCAACAGCAGCCTTCCTTTTCTTCTTTGGTTAGTGTCTATATTGTCGTTTCAAATTATAATTCATATTATTTCCCCTTGCTAACTCCATTTTGTGGACTTCCAGTATGCCACATCTGGAGTCAGAGGTCAACAAGATGCTCAGGTAAATACCAGTCATCAGAAAGTATTGTCATTGACTAATGAGTCACAACAATGCCTGCCTTGGAATGAGACTGCTTAATGGCGTTTGTTTGTGGGTGCTTACTATGAATACCTAATTTTCTAGTTCTTACATTGTTTTTTCAACGATTTAAGCCCTTAGCCTTCACCTGGCCATTCCACATACCATTATGTGTATGGTTGCATATTTTGCAGATGGTCAGATAATACTGCATATAAATTTTTATGGAAGAATGTAAATATATTGCATAAAGTCAGATGAACCAAGGTTACTACTTTTTTCCCAATAATAAGTGCAGGTATTGTTACCAACCAGAGTCCTGTTGTCGAAAAAAAATTGGCTTGTGCTGTAGTCCGGGGACTGATCAGTGTAGTTTTGGTTTGTTGGTACACTGCATCAATATTATATGAAAAAGATTGGCCCTGGTGGACTTTTTGGTTGAGCCTGACTATCGTTGTTGGTCCCATTGTCAAAAAATTGATGTGTTAGGCATGTATTAGATTTGGTCATTCCCTGGAGTGTGTTTGTTGGAATGTTGCAGATGGCCCTCTGCATTAGGCAGATGTGCTTTTTATGCCATGCACAACTGGCTCAAGCCATTATGAAAATTCAAGATGCATGAAGTTGCTTTTTCATATGTTAGATTACTCCTTTGGCACAACAAACAAATAACAACCAAGCCTTAATCTGAAACTTTTGGGGTAGATTACTCCACGCCTTGCAACTGCGCAATGTTTAGTTTTAAACCTATAGTTTTTGTATTTTGTATGGAATGCAAGTCAATTGTTGTTGCACAGGCACATTTAGAATTTAGACTTCAACTTAGAATTGTGAAAAAATGTGCCACTTCCTGCTTATTTTTTTTTACTGATAATGGTTGTTGCACAGGCACATTTAGAATTTAGACTTCAACTTAGAATTGTGAAAAAATGTGCCACTTCCTGCTTATTTTTTTTTTTTTACTGATAATGAATTTCGTGGAAGGAAACATGTCTTGTGATTCTTTCTGGTTTAATAATGCATCATTTTTAGCGTTGGTTATTAGAATGTGCCAACACTGCTACTAGAGCTCAGCATAGCTTTTGCACGTATAACTTTTTTCTGTTAGGAGTTTTTATATGCTTTTGGTAGTCATCTGCCATCTGGATCTTTTTTTGGCTGTTCAGGAACTTAGTTTTACACAATTACCAGCCGCAGCTAGTTCAGTCAACGATCCAACACGCTTCCAGGTACCTTGTGTTCTTCCATGTGATTGGATGTTGGATCTTTTCCGTAACCATAGATCATTCCTAAGGTCATTGTCTGCTGCAGGGGCTTCCTGTTGCTCAGGACCGGATGTGGAGGAATAAGCCAGCAGGTTCTGATTATTTTCTATTTTATATTAGTCTGGGATGATTTTTATTTTTTTCCCCCAAGTTTCTTAAGATAAACAGGAAATAGTACTAGGTGCCCTTTTTTATGAAACAGAATCAAAGCACCTACTGCATTGCACTCACGTGCAAACTGCCAAAATAACATGATTAGTGGGTCATGATCACTTTTTTTTTTTGGTTGCGAGACTGACAATTCAAGTCTCAAAATTTGGTAGATCCTTTGAGAAGATGGCATCGACACCTTAAATGCGCTTTGGAACACATTTTGAGAGTTAGTTCTATGATTGATTATTTTAGTAATTCTCATGTTTTGCTGAGTTCTTCTCCAGGAACTTGAAGATTGGCATCTTGGGCAGCACATGGGCAAAGTTACAGCTTCTTGAAATGCCAAGTGAGAGCACTATGGCAATGCAAGGGGCAAGTCAAGGACAGGAGCGGCAACAACTGCTATGAGCTTTAAATGCTAAATGAGATTTTTATTGAACAGTTTTTCCAGCTTTACCTTTACTAGCTGCAGCGATTTACTGTTCAACGGTTGCTGGCTTGCAAAAGCCTATGTGCCATCAAATACAAGGGACATTGAATTGCCTCATTTTGTTTCTTTGTGTATAATGTAACATTATTGGTTGCTACCTGCGATCCTTGTAACTACATAAACCATATCTAACCCCACTTTGAGGATATGAGAACGAGATGGCAAGTGATGCTGATGACTAATAATTTTTACTGGGCGTCTACATTTTTGGCCATGGTTATTTGATTAACGTGGGGTTATATGGAAGTCAACTAAAAAAATTATTAAAAATTGAAAGCGGTGAATTACCGTTTTTGGACATGATAAAACTTGAATTTGGGGGGTATTTTAGGTGAATAAAATGTTTCAAAACAAATTCAGACATCTAGATATAGTTCAAGGATTATGGATAATGCTTCGAAATTGAGCCACATTATTAGCGCGCAGCTTGTCATCTCGCTTAAGCATGGTCGTCGGTTCAAGGAGCTAAAGATTAATTGACGGTCCTACAATTCCTCCGTATTTCGCCACCGTAACCAGTAAGTGGCCCTAAGCCTCCCATCTTCAGCATGGAATTCTTGAAGTCCTCGAAGAATAGTAATGGGTCCTCCGCATATGATTCTACAATCTTGCGTGTGCCATCATCTTGGATTGCAAGAACCTGATCAGATGGAAGCAATCCCTCTCCTGAAAGAAGATTAACGTAGTATTGATTGTCGAATGTAGCTGGGGTCACCAGGTCAAGATGTGCCAATGTCGAGGTGCTGTCAGCAGTTTCTGAGCATAGTTGTTGCAGGGACTGAACGAAGTCCACATTAACATCAGGGCCACCGGAGTTACTAGGGCTCAGGAATCGAGAGTTAAAAGTTGAGCATCTAGCTTTTCCTATTGTGTGCGCACCTGCCAATTCACAATCAGACACTGATTTTCAGTAGGCATGAGTGTCCTGAGATGCTTTAGGATGGGAACTATGTTACCTGAGAGGGCAACCATATCATTTAGTGTGAGGCCGACATTCTGAAAATTAGCCACTAGAGTTGATACACTAGAATTTGGAGCAGGGATGTTGTTTGTCGCTGCTGCCTGGCTAGCAGTCAAGCTGTCCCTCCTACCCATCTGGACTGCCCAACCTGGTCCACCAGACTGCAAAGTATTTAGAATTCAGCTCAGTTCAAACCTTGAAAGATAGTCCATTTTATCATGACATGAAGAGTGGCAAAAATGTAACGCACTAAAAGAACAGAATCTCTGGCAACAATCGCGAGAATATCAGCACAAGAAACCGTTTCAGGACAAACAGATTCCAGATCAGATTTGATGGCATCAATCACTTCAAATCCTCTTAATGAATTCAAGTTGGGTGGTGCAGTTTTTTCGCCCACAAAGTTGTCAGTGTCATCTAGCAACACTGAAGCGTCACATCCCTGCAAAACACGTAATGTGCATCATGACCATTGCTATTGCAATAAAAGATAGCATACATAGAAGCAATATGTATAGCTATAAGATTAAACTTGACTCGCATTAACAAAGCAGTCGTGGAAGTGAAGACGAAGCAGCGAAGCTGCCATTCTTGGTTCCTCAGAGATTGCACTTTCAACCCAAGATAAGATAATAGGTTCTGCCTCTGGGCAGGATTCTTGGTAAACATCAAACTGCAACGAGAAACCAATATCATCCACACATGTTTTGTTCAAGGTGGTTGGTGTCTTTGCCAACGCAATTGCAAGCTTAACAAGCATCATAAAACAAAAAGCTAAGCTCATGGCCATGTTGCACTAGTTTGTTTGGATGTATTTGAAATGGTGTTGGGGTTGATAGCTTCACTTATATAGACACCGCTGTGGAAAAGGAGAGGTGGAGTAGTTTCATGTATTGTATCCATGGGTGGTTAGTGGTTACTGTACAACATTGTCCTGACTTGGAAACAGTCAATTGCAAGTTCATAGTACATGATGAGTACGAATCAACCTAATCCCATGTGCTTCAATGTTTTTTACCGGATGCTTTTTCTCAGACTTGAGATGGTACGTTGAAAATTTCCTTAGTGTATTGCGAGAAAGGGGCCCAGTAGTTTGACAGAAGCCACTGAAGCTTGAGTTGTTAGTTCTGTTTCTGTTGAGGGGCTGAATTGTTCCATCCATGAACTCATCAGATGCAGATGCTTGTTTAAGTTTATGTCTTCTAAGCTTATAGGCTATAGCGCATACATCTTTTTAATTTTTGCCGTCGAAAATGGCACGAAGAAGGATCTCTTAGCGTTACCGATAAAAATTATGATCAGTTCAGGCCGTTGATCCTATCTACTGTATATTGAATTGAATACTCAAAAGAACATGAGGTCAGGTATACCCTGCAGGTTTCATAAACCTCAGTACATTTATTTAATGTTGGCGTCAAAACTAAAGACAAAACAAGATTTTGTTATCTAGTTTTCTTGATAGAAATAAGGATTTAGGCCATAGATCTTCATATTTGTATCCAATAACCTTACGGTTCCGACAAATCTTTTGAAAAAAGAAAAAAAGCAAATGCAAGAACAATGGAGAAGAATTGCGCATGAGTTACACTCAGACTTTCATGCAGTTGTTAATATGAGAAATGAAATTGCTGGAATTGAAAGAGTTGCGGGGACTTCTGAATTAGAGTTATCAAAGGTGGATGACTGGAATGAAGTTGGGATGGTCAGCAATTAATCTATAAAATGGTTGCTCGTGTGAAGAGTTTATACGTGCGAACATTTAAATGAATGGGGCTTAGCTTGCGAGAGAGTTTCTTAGTCTGAGCCGTCAAAGTTAGGATTAGCTGGGTAGTGAATAGTGTTAAGAATGAGTGGAAAAATCATAAAACATTTTATTTTTTATTTTTTTAATATGGTTCTTGTATTTTTATTTATTTATTTATTTTTGATTTTTTTTAATAGGATCTCTCAAACTATTTTTTTAGCTAATTTTTTTTATTGAAACTGACCTAATATAAGAAAACTTATTATGTCAGATAAATTTAACACGCTGCAAAAAATTAAAAAAATCAGAAAAATTGCTGAAATATATATATATAAAAGAAACAAATCCAAACATTGAGAGTAAGACCACCACATGTCATGATCGGGTGCCTTCCTCTTAGAATGGAAGTGGCGATGCAAACTATGTTGGCGTGGCTGTCAATTAATTTTGTTGTTAAAAAACAATGCTTTTTTTTATTTTTTTATTTTCCAGTTCATCAATTTCTCCGCCCTCTTCTTCTCTATTTCATTTCTCTTGTCTCCTGTTTTTATAAATCATCAATTTCGTTTGAGCCATAAAGATCAAATCAAATGGCCACCATTTTTCAGGGATTAAGAGGAGCTGCTACTGCTACAGCTTTAACCAATTCTTTTGATTAAAAAAATTGCTTCTGCCTTCCTCTCGCAGTTCCCTTTCAAGTTTGTTTCCTTTCCTTCAATAATGCTTCCATTTCTTTTTTCTGTACAAGATTCCTGATGCGGGTTCAATGTTTTGTCTGATTTTAGATAGGAAAGCTAGCTTTTTGGTGGTGAGATCTAATGAGAGCGTCAATCTGAATCTTGGGAGTTCTAATGATAGAGCTCGGAGGGTTAATCAATTGATTACAAATACAGTTGCTGTTAGTCTTCTATTCTCTTCTTTTAAGTTCTTCGAGTTCTGGGTCGTGATCTTAATAAGATAATTATGTTTATTAATTGTTAATCTTAGTGATGGTATCGTTTTTTGTTTCTAAATTTAATTGTTTAAGCAATTGCTTGAACTAATTTCTATTCTTATTAAGAATAAAGTCCCAATGTGTATGTTAACAATGTTTCGATTGGTGGATTGTGCAAGGGGAAGAGAATAAAGAATGTAGAGAAGTTGTTTGATGAAATGTGTGCAAAGAGAAGAGGATAAGAGATGCAGAGAAACTGTTTGATGAAACGTCTGTGAGGATAAGGATGCAAAAAAATTTGGTGAAATATAAAAATAAATGTACAGGCCTGTGGCAATTTTTTTTTCTTTTTAATTTTTAATTTTTTTCGCAAAATTTTCTGATTTTTTAAAATTTTTTGCCATGTGGTAAATTAATCTGACATGGCATGAATCGTCACTTTTTATGCCACGTGTCAGTTTTTATGGAAATTTTGGCCTAAAAATTTTTTTGAGAGACCGTATTAAAAAAAAAGAAAAAATCAAAGGTAGAGAAGAGAAATGTGATGAATAAAAAAACAATACAGGAGTTATATTAAGAAATTTAGAAAAATAGAAGGACGTTTTAGCGGCTAACTCGGGGACAAAATAGTTTTGGCTATTCTTGTTATGTGGGCATTTTCTCTCTGTACTTTTCTATGTTTTTTTCTCTTTCAACTTTCTTAGGGTTTTATCAAACTTTCTTTGTTGATTATTTGTTAATTCTTGCGATTTTTGAAGAATAATTCATGTATTTCATTACTTGACTAACATTGCATAACCTAGCATTTTTTTTCAATCGATTGTTTGTTTAATTTCAACTTCGTAAGTATCCTGCAATCGAATTCCTAATTCTTGTGATTGGAATAAGTCTTACGAGAAAAAATTGAACAACAATGGAGAAGGAAAATGCTGATTTTTTTTTTTTTGAAAAAAATAGAGGAATCGACTGCTCATTTAACTAAGATAATTTCTAAATTTAGTGATAAATGTGATAATGAGTTTGCACAACATAATAATAAAATTTCTAAGTTTAAAGATCTTGTGAATGGTCTTAAAAGTTTAGTAGTGGAGGAAGTAGGTATGGACCATAGTTATGGAGTTAATAATGGTGGAGTTGGAAACATGAATAGAGAAAATTTTCAGCATCTAGAATATGGGTATCTCACTGGAAACTTTAATGCTGCATTTATGTACAATAGATATAGGGGAAATAACTCAAGGTATCAATCTTATATTAGAATGTCTAGGGTAGACTTCCCTAACTTTAGTGGTGAAGACTTTGAGGAATGGGTTTTCAGATGTAAAAGGTTTTTCTCCATGGATAGAACACCTGAAGAAGTTAAGGTCAATTTAGCCATAATATATATATCTAAAGAAAAAAGCTTTAGAATGGCACAGGTATATGTAAGAATGCATAGGATTAATGCAGTATTGAAATGGGATGATTACATTGATCTCATGAGTATTTGTTTTGGAGCCATGGTGTTCAATGACCCAATGACAGAATTAATGGTACTTAAGCAGCCAGGTGATGTGCAATCTTTTTTTAAGAAATTTATTTTTGTGGTGAATAAATTAAGATTGCCTGAGGACTACATTATTAGTTGTTTTGTTGGTAGCCTCAAACCTGAATCACAAGTTCCAATTAGGATCACTGAGGCCCAAAAACTTTGAAAGAAGCAGTAGCCCTAGCCAAACTGCAATAAACCAATCCTAATGTTCAACATTATGCCAGTAGATTCAGCCCCAAACTCCCTCGATTTTCACTCAAATATCTAACCACAACTTTTTCATGATTAACCAAATATCAAGAACTACAAACATCACCAGAACTTTAAATTTTTCCAACCAACAATCACAAATGAACTTCAGTCAAATTTTTTTAATCCTAATCAAAAGGGCTTGCTGGCACTACCTCTTCAGTTCCAAAATGGAAAATCTGTATTTAAAAGAGGATATTACCAAGTAATTAAGGAGTTAAATGAAAGGAGGTTGAAAGGACAATGTTATTACCCTAATGAGAGATATTTTCCTAGGTAAAAATGTAAGGTTAGGCAAATGTTCATGTTGGAGGTAAAGGAGAGTGGGGTAGGCGAACATAAGGGAGAAACAAATGGGAAAGAGGGTAAGATAGGATATTTTGAAGGAAGGGAAGATTTATCGGGAGAATTATATGAGACTTCTGTATATCCAATGTTTGGAGGAGAATAATATCAGACCATGAAGGTTGTAGGAGAATTCTAGAAAAAATAGTAAATATTTTAATTGACACAGGAAGTACTCACAATTTTATATGCTTAAGAGTTTGCAAGGAAGAATAATTATGAGCTAACTAGGATTAAATCTATGTCAGATAGTGGCAGATAGAGGAGAAATCTTTTGCAAATACACGTGCAAAAGTTTCAAATGGAAAATGCAATGAAAAGTTTTTAAAAATACAATATTTTTTATTCAATTAGGAATGTATGAGATGACTTTGAAAACTTGAAATTCTAAATAGATGTGGATGGATTTTTTTAGAGAGGAAAAATGTGTGAACTTCATTGAGAGCATGCAGGAGAAAGAAATTGATAAACCCATCTATAGACAACAACAACTTAAGTGGTTACAATTAGCTCAGATAGTTAACTTGGAGTAATTAGATGTGGGAAACTGTATGGCAGAATGCAAGAACACATTTCTAGTGAGTTGAGGGTAGTATTAGAAAGGTCTGGGATGTTTTTGAGGAACCAGAGAGGTTACCTCCTCAAAGAATTCAAGACCACATGATAATTTTAAAAGAGGAGTCAGAACTTGTGAGTATGAAACCGTACAAGTATCATTCTTTACAAAATGATGAGATTGAAAAGCAAGTCAAGAGGATGTTGGAGAGTGGGATCATACAATTCAGTAGTAGTCTTTTTTCATCTCCAGTAGTATTGGTGAGAAAAACAGATGACACTTGGAGGGTATGTGTGGATTATGTAAAACTGAGTTAAATGTCTATCAAAGATCAGTGTTTCATTTCTATCATTGAAGAATTATTTGATGAATTGCAGGGTTATTCTGTTTTTTCAAAGCTGGACTTGAGAGCTTGTTATCCTCATATAAGAATAAATCCTACTGATATTTTAAAAACTACTTTTAAAACACATAATGGCCACTATGAATATTCAGTAGTACCTTTCAAATTGATTAATGCTCCTAGCACATTTCAGTCATTAATGAATGATAGTTTTAGGCTTTTCATAATATATATATATATGATATACTGATTTTTAATGAAACTTTAAAAGATTATTTGCATCATTTAGAAACTGCTCTATCATTATTAAGAGAGAAGGTATTGTTTGTTAAGAAGTCCAAATGCACGTTCTGTACTTCAATAGTGGAGTATCTAGGATATTACATCTCACAAGGAGTTTCAAACTGATCTCAGAAAGATTGAAACTGTACAGAATTGGACTAAAGCTACTACCTTGAAACAATTGAAAGGATTCTTGCTGGGTATTATAGACGTTTTGTGTAGAATTATAGGAAGATAGCAAAACCTTTATTTAATTTATTAAAGAAGGATGGTTTTTGTATAGAATGAAGCTGCTGAAACGACATTTTTAGATTTGATCGAGAATCTTATCATCTGTTAGGTGGGCCAACCGACTGATTGAGTTGGGCTGGACGTCCATGTCACTCACCTTTCTTCTAGCCAGAGGTTACTACAAGGAAAGTTGCACCATTGTTTTATTGGAAGGGATTGGCAAGAATTGTGAGGGAATATGTTCAAAATTATTTCACTGGTCAATAATATAACTATGAAAATGTGGGAATACCAGGGTTGTTGCATCCATTACCTTTACCTCGAGATGTGTTCGCTGATCTTACTATGAATTTATTGAAAGATTACCAGTTTCTAAGGTAAATCTGTCATCTCTATGGTAATTGATCAACTTGATAAATATGCTCACTTTAGGTCTCTGTATCACCGTTATTCTGCTGGGTCTGTAGCTAAGACATTCATGGAGCAAGTTTATAAACTACATGGATTACTAAGAATATAATATCAGATATGGTTCCTGTTTTTCTTAGTAAGTTCTAGAGGAAATTGTTAGCCTTTCTTTTCTTGTAACAAATGATCAACAGCTTTCACTTGACGATCATTTGGCAAATAGGGTAAATGGATAAGAGGCGAGTATCTGTATAAAGCTTCGAAAAGAGAACATTTAGTAGAGCAGTGAAACGATTTGTTATTCCAACATCCAGCCAAGCATAATCATTTACACCAAGCATTTGAAAAGAAAAAGTCATGTAAGGAAGGTAAATTTGTAGGCATCTGTTGACTACTTCAGTTTATCCATTAGTTCTAGAATGTATAAAATGTCAATAAAAAAACTTAATATAAAACTCCTTGGCAATTATAGAATGTCAATATCAACGAGATATTTGTCTTCAAAATGAATGTTAGAACCTATTGGCAATAAAAAAAATAGATTATTGTATTTCTTTTTCTATGCAACTTGATGAAACCCTTAGATATAAACAACTAAGAGGCTCAAGGTTCTAGTTTCTGAATTTCTTAGTTAATAGCTATTATTCAATCATTTTCTTCATACTTGTATTATTATGTTATCATCTTTTCAAACTATTATTTTTTTCTATACATTGACTTAATTATCCAAGGATCCTCTAACCTATAAATAAATAAAAAAACTTATTTTGCATGTATCTTGATTAGTTTCATCTCAAACCATCCTTAAACTTACAACTATATCAATTAAGAAAAAACCATCTCATAAGATATCATTAAACGAGATTCACAATCTCATCAAATTGGAACTACGATGACCACCTAGTATCTTCATTTGAGATCAAACTTTTATCGTCAACGACGATCGAAGTTGAGATTCAAATCCCAATTGTAAGCTTTGTTACTCCATTTTGCGAGAGTATGGCTAAGCTACATCACCATTGGCAATGCTATGGCATAAATTTGATAACATCTGTGGTAACACGATAAGATATGCTTTTCTTTGCTTTTCTAATATTCAGAAAGAAACTTGCGCTTTGGCATTTTACTCAAAATCTAAGGTAAAAGTTAATTGGACAAAAGTTCATTGTCTTTTGATTTTATGAAAAGAATGGATTAAAGTATCAAGGGATTAATATCCAACCCTTAAAAATGGGTGGTTTAAATGTTTAACTCAAGGAGGGTGGGTGAAAGAACTTTTAAGAGGAGAAAACTTTTG